TGCTTTAAGAGTCCCTACAGCTGAGAATTACTCCAGTAGAACTAGCTTTGCTAGGACAACTTATTCTTCTCACAGAGCATCAGCATCTCACAGAGGCTATCATGGCAGAAGTGAATTTTGCCAAATTATTAGTGTCTGCACACTGTCAGAACAGGGCACAGTACAGGACATTTTCTCAAGTCTTTGAAGTACAGCTTCTGTTAGAGTTGTTTCTTCTGTACCTCTTTTAGAAGCACAAAACATCCTTATGTAGATAGTTCACTGCAGAATGTATTGATCCTGTTTAGTTTGGTTCACACCTGTCATGATCCTCAATAATTTTCTTGTGTCTGTTCCACTGGTGAAATTCATCATTTCCCCAGTGAATCACTTATGAAGTAGAGCTGATAAACAAATAAATAGAAAATACATTAGGAATACAAACACAACATCACAAAGAGTTCTGATTGTAGGCTACACTGGAATGCTGTTTTCTGATGATATTTATATTCTGACTTCACAATGATTCATTATTGTTGCTATAGCATTGCCCCCTCTTTCTACCCACTTCCTCTTTGTGGGAAGGGCAGGAGCAGCAAACTGCACACATTCAAAAAGGAAATGAAACCTCTCAGAAAAGAGAGATATTTTGCAGAACGATAGAGAGACCCAACCTCGTGATATAAGATTAACTTGAAATCTATATGTCTGTCCTAGTCTTCCTACATACACACCGTATGAGGCACTCCAGGCTTCATTCATGAGGGATTAGGTTTGATGAACTGTTTCTCATAGTCTCTCATGGTACCAAGTGCACCAGGAAATGAAAACTAAAGTTTAAATTGATGCAACCTGTGAATGTCAGGACATACAGAATTAAAACACAAAATGTCCAACTGTATATCACCAGGCAGAGAGAGATAAGTGTGGGTAATGACCCAGGAAAAATGCTTACAGTGGTTGGTAGCACTGAAGCAGTTTACAACAGAAAAGATGAAATGAGCTAATATTGGCCTGAAATAGGCAGCTGGATTCTCTGAGGCTGAGTGTTGAGTGTGTGACATGCCAGGATGTGGGTGATACGAGTCCCCTGGGCTGTGCACCCTGGCTGTGTCTGGGGAATGGGATGTGATGGGTCTGGGGGACCTGGGCAAAGTGAGAGGGGCTGGATGGGAACACTGCACAGCCTCATAGCAGAGGGATGGCTGTTGGAGGGCGGAGGTGTTTTAATTCAGCTTTTCTAGATTTTCAGGGGCTGATAGATCAAGGTATTGAGGAAAGAAAATAGAGAAACCAGATTTTTTTTGTGGAATTGATTAGTTATAAAAAGTTGATGCCTATTTCCTCTTGTTAGGTTTCAATATAATCATTTTACTGTTAGATTGAGACTACTCTCTGCTTAACATTTTTTACTGTTTGCCCTCTGTTGGAGGATTCTGCTTTAGGAGAATTTCCTATTGGACCTCAATCCTTCTTATCAAACTGGCTATTGATAAGAATTATAGCTGCTTGCTTTTCTCCACTTATACCCAGTACTTACTTCAGGAAATCATGAAGGACGATTATATTATACTATCAATGCTATTTCACTTTTTAATTTTTCTTTTGTATGAGTTTGTCCTTTTGGAATGTCCACACAATATAAACTGAACACACAGGTGAGTTTTATAATGTTTTGCACTAACAGATTGCATACTAGAGAATTTGCTGCCAAAACAAAATCTGAAAATTTGTTTTGCATAGGACGTATGTTTAGAAAACTTTTAGTGACTCTACTTGGAGTATAAATTCCTTCCAACTTAAAAGAAAATTGAAGGTACAAGGAATGTACTTAGTTGAGCTGAATATTAGGAAAGATAAAACCAGTTTATAGTGGTCAATGAATCATGGGACACAGGCAAAGCAGTACCATACTGATTTCAAAATAGGAACCAAAATTTCTACTAAGAAGGCTGCCTTCACTGCTGGGCTGCTAATGTTAGGATTTGTCATGCATTTCTATCAATGGTGATATTACAATGCCATATTGGCAGATGTGTCTAACAAATCCATCGAAACACTTTTTAGTACCTTAAAAACATTCAATTTTTTCCAACTCAGAATGATCTAATTCCCACTTGATTAACTAAAATTCCAATTGCTACTCAAAACAACTCTTTCAAGAGATGCCACCCAACTTGTAAAATAAAATTCAGTGAATTTGATCAGCATTCTCTCATATCATAAAATCTTCAGCATTTTTTTCCTGAAATTGCTTCCTGTTTTTATTTCTTCATCACAAGAAGCAATTTTGTATTTTCAAATAGTCTCCAAGTGTCAGCCACTGCTTTTATTTCCTCTTTTATACAATTTCATAGTTTCATTCTGTATTTGCTTCCCAGTCTGCAGTGTAACTTCTCACTCCTTCACTGTTCTGCTCTATGAGTCAGATTGGTACTGTCATTGTTTACTAAGTCATTTACCTTTGATGTATTTGACTGTTGGTTTCTCTTCTCTTCCTCATATTTGAGTTGTGTCTTTCAAACTGTCAGGACTGACGATTTTTGTGAAGGACTTATGAAAGAACTCAAACATGAAAATGCTTCATAACAGAATACACGTTATAGCCTAAAATCAGATCTGGTGCACAAAAGGTAACAAGTGTAGAACATGCTGTAAAGATGTTCCTGGAAACCATGGGTCAATAAGTCTGTCTTCCATAGAGGCACATTAGGAAAGTGTAAACAAGAATATAATAAGTCAGGACATTTAAAAAAGTAATACAGCTTTTGCAGAGGGAAGTCACATCTCACAAAAACTACAGTGTACCTGGACTTTCAAAAGCTTTTACACAAATGTCTTCATCAAAACCTCTAAAGAAATAAAGCAATAAAACTAATGGGATGAAAAGTGGAGTTCTACTATTGATAATGAACTGTTCAAAAGGAATAGCAGAAAAGTCTGGTTATCAGTAATCAGTTTTCAAAATGAAAGCAGATTAACAGCAAAGTCTCTGAGCCTCTTTGCTGACAACTGCAAATTTTAACAGTCCAAAAGCCTAAAGCCATGCAGGGTGTGAGCCTTAACTGCATTTCTCTTTCCAGGGCATTTGCTTTTTGCTGTGGGAGATGCATGCCAGTCCCTAATACTGTTCACCCTGTGCCAGAGGATCCCCCCCTTTCCATCTCTGCCCAGCCTGCAGCTGCTTCTCTTCTTCAAGGAACAGGGTGGGCCAGGGTCGTGGCAGCCCCTCACTGCCCTGCCCACCGCTGCTTTGGGCAGATCCCCCAAGGCTGCAAGAAAATTCCTCTTGTCCATTGGTCTTTACACGTCTGTCCACAGGGTGGAGGTCATGACTTGCGTATAAGCCAGCCTGCACAGAAAATAAGCATCAAAGCTAGGATTATAGGAGCATCAGGTCATGAACCAGAATGGGAAGGTGAAAAGCAAGAGGAAATATTTGTGTGCCAAGTGGAACAACAGCAAAAAGATATCGTCATGAAGAACGTTTTGCCTTTGTGGTTTGTCTCTTGTTATGTGACACCCCCACAGAGCTGCAGTCCAGCTCTCTCTAGCACAGAAATTTAATGAGGAGGCTGGAGCCTCCTGTAGGACCCCTTGATGCTGCGTTTTGATTGTGGATCAGGCAAAAGTGCAGTGACCCTTGGGAGCCCACGTTTGGAGCTGTTATTAGCGGGGATTGTGCTGGAGGGGTGAAGCCGAGGGCTGTCGCTTAACAGTGTGAGGACCATTAGAAAGGAATCTGTGTTGGTAGCAGATCTTCAGTGAAGGGAAGAGGAAAATAGTTCAGCACTGATGGAAAGATGGTCTTTTCACAATGCATTTGTCTTGTCTTCCAAGCACAAGTGTATCACATTAAATACAATTCCCTTTATTTCCAAGAGCCTTATATCTTTATTTCATAATCAGCATCTCGTAGTTAGAAAGAGAAAAAAACAAATAATGTCTCATGTCCAGCATGATTTTTCTGTCCTCTCAGCAAGATTGTTTTGGCTTAGTTGGTCAGTTATGTAATCCCTTATTAATCCTAATAAAACAGCAGCAAAGATTTCTCATGAGTGTTACTCCAATTTGCTCAATGATGTTCTGAACATGTTTTTTATTCTTTACTAATATCTTATTAAAGCAAGGTTGTCTTATCAACAGCTTTAACTGAAGCAAAATTACTATTTTCCGGCTTTAGGATGGGAAGGATATGAGAGAAGACTGAAGCACTTCTGGCCTGAGAAATCCCATTACAGGAATGAGGCCAGAGGAGATTTCTGATAAGACTCACATTCAGACTTGAGCAGTGGAGTGGGACACAAAGAAATAGGAAAAATTCAGCAATGCTGATTTTAAAAGAGGTTGATAATGGGTGACAGACAGCAGAGTCAGATGCAGGACATCTTTAATGCCTACTGGGGACCCTCATGAGGGTCTGCTGATCCTGTTGGGAGCTGGTGTGTGCCCCCAGCCTAGGCTACAGTGGGTGCTGAGTGCTGGGTGATGAACCACCTGCACTTACAGCAGGAGCCAGGTGAGCCTCAGAAAAATTTCAGCTTGTGTTACAAAGATTTGGTGAGGATGGACCCCTGGAAGGTAAGAGCCACCCCCAGGACAGACCCCTGCTGCAGAACAGCACCTGAGAGAAGAAAGTAGGTGTGGTAACTCCAAAGCCTGGAAGCAATCCATGGCACAAGGAGAGAAAGAGTGAACCTAGCAACCCAACCAAAATTCAGATCTCCACTAAACTCTCTTTTCTTTCCCATGCATTTTCTTCTGCTTTTTTTCTTTTTGTTCGTTTGTTTCATTCTGATTCTGCAGGAAATAGTGCCATGCGTTCCTTCCCCTTGCAGCTGGGACAAGGTCAAGCACAAGTGGGTTACAGCTGGGGAGAGTGTCCTCGCTTTTTTGCAGAGCTGAGCTGTACCACAGGGATTTGCTGCCAGTTTGCTGGTCTTGCATGTGACGAAATTCCTGATGTGGTTTATTTTTCCTACAGGTTTATTTTTTTTCAACTGTTCTGTTTTGTCTTCCAGGGTTTGGTATGACCACCCCAGCCACCGTTGGAGGCAAAATTTTTCTGATATTTTATGGCCTTATAGGATGTGCAGGGACCATTTTGTTCTTTAACCTGTTCCTGGAACGCTTGATCACAGTCATAGCTTATGTCATGAAGTCCTGCCACGAAAGACAGCTGAGGAGGAAAGGCGTTCTCCCTCACAACAGCCGGCGGGGCTCAGGGACATCTGAGGTGGACAGCCTGGCGGGCTGGAAGCCCTCTGTGTACTATGTCATGCTGATTTTATGTGTAGCATCACTCATCATTTCCTGCTGTGCCTCTGCAATGTACACACCAATTGAAGGGTGGAGTTACTTTGACTCACTTTACTTCTGCTTCGTGGCCTTCAGCACCATAGGTTTTGGTGACCTGGTCAGTAGCCAGAACATCAAGTATGAAAGCCAAGGCCTTTACCGCTTTGGCAATTTTGTCTTCATACTCATGGGGGTGTGCTGCATCTATTCCTTATTCAATGTGATCTCTATTGTGATCAAACAATCCATAAACTGGATATTAAAGAAGTTGTCCTGCAAGTGCTGCCACAGATGCCAAAGAAGATTATTTCGTTCACGGAGGAACGTGGTAATGCCTGGAAATGTGCGCAGCCAGAGAAACATCTCCATCGAGACCGATGTTGTCAATGAGAGTGACACAGACGGACGCCGTCTGTCAGGAGAGATGATCTCCATGAAAGATTTCCTGGCTTCAAATAAAGTCTCATTGGCCATCATGCAGAAACAGCTGTCAGAAACTGCTAATGGGTATCCAAGGCAAATGAGCTGTAATTCAAAGCAAAATGGATTCTCTGGTGGGGTTGGAGCCCTGGCAATTATGAATAACAGACTGGCAGAGACCAGTGTGGATAGGTAAAATAATAACAGTAATAACAGTGAAACAATGTGAACCATTTCAGCAAGTATTGAAACAATGTGAATCAAGTGGAAATAGCTAGGGAGAGAGAGTGCCACCAGAGGCTGGGATGGATGTGAAGGGCATACCTCCTGACAGAAGATCTCTGACACTTTTTTGGGGCTGTCTCTTAATGTTTTTGAATTGCACCAGTCCCAATCTTTTTTATTTCCCATCCTTCTGCTTCTCAAGCAGGTCACTGCAGAAGGAATTTAATATAGCCTTCAGATCAAATTTCCATTCCTGTTCTTTTCCATTTATGTGAAACACAGATTTCAGGATAAGAAATATGTGTGATGGGAAGAAACCAAGTGTGTCTACTGAACACATTCTTAATTCAAAGATTTTTTTTTTTTTGAGTTTTCTGTCTTATTCTCATCATACCTGTTTCCTGAAAGAGAAACAGGTCTCTCTTATCTGAGACCAAAAGAGGAATCAGCCTTTCTCTGTGATATTGCAGACCTAATTTAATGAAAAATAGTATTAAAGTTGGTAGGTATATTCTGGAGTTATTGTGATGTGAATGAGGAGAGAATTTTGCCCTTAGAATTTAATTTAGTCTTTCCTTTAAGAGGATACTGTCAAAAGTGATAGAATAAAAATTTATCGTACTTTTATTTTCTTCTCTTCATTTGCAAAACATGATTTTTTCTTTTTTTTTTTTTTTTTTTTTTTGAGGCTACTTTTTCTTCTAGAATCACTGTGGCTTTCTGTTTCAAAAATATCAAATGAAATTAAAACCAGATATATTTATGAGTGGTATGAATTATCCCACAGTAGCAATCAGACACTTTTCAAATTTCTGCTTATATTTGGCTCAATTGTGACTGAAGCAATTGAGTATCAGCATTGTGCAGTGCAACTGGTAACAGAGTTTACACAACAGGCTTTAGTATGCAATTACATGCCAGCATCCAGGTATTATTATAAGTGACTGTGATCACAGAATAATTTTGGCAGTGTCCTTTCTGTCTTTCATGTAATTCTGTCATTCTTCTCCTGTTTCTCTGACTTTTGGTGATGATAATGGCAGGGTCTTGATTAGGGAAGTAGAAAATGTTTAACTTCTCATTTTTTCGATGAAATGTTCTGAGTGTTCATTATGATTAGAAAGGAAATTTCAATGACAAGAATAATAACAGTGAAAAGAACATGAAAACAGGAAAAGAGGTGATCTTTAATGACAGTGAAATCACCCTTTTCATTAGGTAACTGGAGAAATAAGGGATCAAATTAACATAAAGTCTAGCAAGAGTTTAAGGAAGACTGGGCTGAATTCCTGTTTCTCCTTTAAGCACACAATGCATTAAAGCTAAATAGTATATGAGAGTGTAAATAAGTAGAATTGGTCACAAAGGACTGGAAAAGAATAGTACATGCATCAGGACTAAATGTTGCCTCACAGCCAGAAAGCTTTTCAGAATACTACAATTTTAAGGAATTTAAAACACCATTATGTAGTTCTCATTTTCTCTCGTACAGAGCAATGCAAGTAGCCTCTTCAGTTTAATTTGTATTGGGAATTAATATCATATCCTATTTCTTCATTCTGGCCAAAAGTTCTTTTATTTAGGTTTCTAATATTGTAGAATAACATTTTGATACTCATTTAAAGCAATATTTGAATTTGAAAACAAAAGCTTGGAATTCTTTCATATAATAAACTTACCCCAGATAGTCAACAAATGTACCTAACTAGTGAAAAGAATTGCAGTCTCTTTTGACTTTATTAGAGGTAAAATCCTGATTTAAATTCAAATCCTGCTGTCCTTAGTTACAAGGAAAGCTTACAGCTGAAGTCATTAGTCCAAATTCTGATACCTATCAACTCAGCTGTGCAGCAGTGGAATAGCCATAGCAGTATCCCTTCATATTTGCTTCCATGTATCATCTGAACCAGTTCCCAAACCCGAACTTTGCTGAGAAAAGCAGTCCTATTTGGTTTTTGTGGGGTTCTGTATTAGCAAAAATTGCCACAGAGTTAATTTAGATGGTATTACAATACCCAAGATCCATTACATTGTTATACTTTTTAATTTTTTTTATCCCAAGACATTCTTTGTCTCAATTTCACTGAATAAAAATACTTGGATATAAAAAAAGCACTACTCTGAAGCCTTCTTTTCAAATTCATTCAGCAATGCCTCTGTTCACAGCCTATAACCCTAAGATCTCATTGTTACTGATGTATTTCTCATGCTGCCAACCAGCAGAAATAGTTTAGGACTATTAAGATGCCTCCAGATGGTTTCAACTGCTCTCAAGACATGAGACTGTAATGTTGCTCTGTTTCGTTGTTTGTGGTACCAAGCCTTGGTTATTCATCACCACAGAGGGATCTTATCAGCTATTTTCAACAAATCTGAAAACACCTATGGTTGCAAAAGCCAAGGGACTTATAAATAGTCAATATTTATTTATATAAATAAAAATAAATATAAAATATTTCTAAATAATCAATATTAAATACTAAATATATCAAGGAGATTTGGCAAGGCTGTCTGAGATCACTGGTGTACACTAACTCTGCTTTCATTGAATCCTGACCTTCTGCTCTCCCAAGCACTGCCTTCTTTATGACACAAGCCTGCCAGCTGCAAGGCTCTCTGCACTGGTTTTGTGGTTGGATTTCATGTCCACTGAGGATAATGAGGGAATAACTGCACTGAACACCTCTATTCAGATGTGAATTGCTGTTCCAGAGATGAAGAACTGGCATATTCTGTCCCTTGTATAATGATGTCATCCTGTACCTAAATGACCTCTGAGTTTTGCCATTGAGTTCGTCTCATAGCAGCCACACTACACAATGAATGAGGTGGCTTTACCAAGGAGACCAGTATTCTTACAGAATATTTGGGGATAAATAATAAGACTTTTAAGATCAGAGAGGGAAATTTCTAACTCCAGTCCCATGGTACTACTACAGTTGTTTTTTCTAGAGGCATTGGACAGAGAAATCCCAAAAAGCTCTGTGCATAATGTAGCATCAAGTTATTAAATTCATAAAACATGTGGAGATATAAACTTAAATGTGCCAAAAAAGAGCAGAATTTAGCGTAGGAGTGAACAAATGCCCATCCTGTGTGAAAAATAAGTTATAGTAAAAATACAGAATACATTGCATTTCTTGCATTACTCTTAAAAGTAGCAATGAGGAATTAAAGGAAATAGTCAAGAGATCTTATTTCAAAGCTGTGTAAATTTTAATTGTTTAACACTAAAATCTCAGTCAACAAGAGCAACCTGCTTTCAGAAGTAATGAGTGTCCTTACTGCCTGCTATGAATTTGCATGATGGCTAATGAGATAGGGGTGTGGGTTTTTAAGGCAAAAATGCTTTGGTGGAAACCTTGGATGGACTGAGCCTCTGAATCTGCACTTAAGAGGTCTGCACTTAAAGAGTACCACTAAAATCAGTGGATTAAACTGCAGGTTGCAGCCTGGCAGACCGAAACTGAAAGTCCTTAAAGGAGTAATCTACCAGAAGTTAGCCTTAGTTACGTCACAACTTAATAATATCATTACTGAACAATATCATTTTTACATGTTGAAAGGTAGTATTAACTGCTAACCAAAATACAATTAAATAAAGATAGATCTTAGGTTTTGTAACACTTGTGCATCAGATGCTTTGCTGGGTACGTAGATGTCAAAGCAGGCTTTTCAAAGGCATTTAATTCCTGCTGAAAGTCAATTCACTTCCCACCACACATTGACTTTCAGTAGAAGTCAGGTACCTAACTCCCTTAGGCAATTTCAGAATCCCAGCCATATATTAGGTTTTGAATGTAAGCTGACCTGACAGTGTCCCTGAAAAGTTCAAACACTTGGAGCAAAGTTTCAGTGCTGCAGCACTCTAATAGCTGAATTCATTTATCTGAAAGCCTTTTATGGTGAAAGCTTTGCATCAAGCAAATAACACAAGCAGTGTTTACAGTTTGTTTGATTTAATCTTGGCCTCTGACAGTTTTAATTATATTTGACACATTTATAAATTAAAGAACAAAGAGAAGGTAGGGCTGGGCATACAAACTGAACCAGCTCCATTTCTCAGACTGAATCAATCAAGAGACAGAGGTCAGCTTGGTAAAAAAGCTTCTTGATTGACATTATATTTGAATAAAGTTTCTCTGGAATGAAGGGTATTAAGTTGCTTGGGTGACTCCTCTCCAACAACTGTGGAAGGGGAGCTGTTTGTGTGACCCACTGATGTCCCCACTCTGGGAACAGAAGCTCAGTGAGCCTCAGCTGAGAGAAGGGTCAGCATTTCAAGCAATACAGTTGGCATCTCTTCTTGTTTTGATTTAGATTACTAACACTCAGCTAATATAGTGATTTCTTGGATTCTTCAAGAGGTAGTGATTTTGTCCAATTTTGTGTAGAAGCTGTGGAGAATCACTAAGTTTTTTCTTTGCACTGGGTAGAAAATGCTGCCAAATACACAGGTATGATGTGTCTATTTGAGAACACTCAGAGTAGTTTTTTGCTTAATCCAGGAAATAAGAATGCAATCTCTTCCCTGTTCCATATTTTCCAAACATCTACTAGCAATAATGCCTACACAATACTCTGCTTATTGCTTAGAAGGTCACGATTCAGTAAGAAAATTAAAGCCATTGCTCATCAAGGTGGACCAACAGAGTCTTATTTTTTATTAGATTTAAGAGAAACACAGTGTGAACACAGAAAATAGCACTCCAGGTCCAAGTAGTCAGAAGCTTATTGATATGGCCTATGCTTAAAGAGCTGGTTCATGTCAAACTAGAGAAAAACCCTGTCACTGCAGGCTTTTAAGAGCATTAATAAACGTAAGAACAACCTTATGGAATAGATGCCCTAAGTTATATTTTGTTTTTCTACAGTTTCACTCTGATATTTGCCTGCAGATTTTTATTATTTGAAATTATTTGTGGTAATAGAATAAATAATATAAATCTGCAAAGATTTTGAGAGGCACGATAGTGAGATATGGTTTAAATTAAATACTCTTTTCCTCAGGCTGCCTAGCTTTTTATAAAGGGGAACTTTGGGAAAGGCAGAATCAACTCTTTCCAAGCAAGGGTACAATTTCTGGGTTCAAATGGATTTCCTAAGAGGTGTACATGCAGAAGCTCAGAGAGAGGCAAGATGGCTGAGTTTTCAAACGTTATCTTTTGCAATGTCTTTCAAAGTGATTCCCCTTTTAAAGCCATAGAACACTGTCCATTTTTTCAGGGGGTTTTTGTAGTCTTATCTGAAAAAGCTTAACCCTGCTTTTTGATATATTTAGAAGAAAAAGATGCTCATGAAGAAAAATGAAAATAACCTTACATGACGTACTGCTTGGAGCTGCTGAAATCCTCCTCTTTATCCTAACTTGAAGTTTACATCAGAGTTTAACTTCTCCAGCTCACCAAAGAGTTTTGGTCTTACTAGTGAATAGTCACAGTTCAAAACAAAGAACTTTAAAGTTATATTTGTTCATCTGTTCTAAATACTGTGATGAGCCTGTGGGTGCCATCTAGTCTCCAAACCCTTTTCCAAAGCAGGCCTGGCTAGTTCCTGCCCTTCTCAGTGCAAATATTTGTCGTTTGCTGGGCAGTGCTGCTTCTGCAGGCAGCAGTCTGTTCACAGTGTACTGAAAGTGCCCATCTCACATGAAATACTGACCACCACCCCATACCAAGAGAAAGTCACAGCCCTTTCCCTGAGCTATTGCATTTGGGCGAGTTCTTAGCTCTAAGTTAAACCCATTTCTTTGAAAATAGCATCCAGGCAGCTGCTTTTCTCAGTCTAATACATAGCAGATGGGTATTTTGATCCCTAGATATCATTATTGTTGGCAGTCTTATTTGAGATGTCAAGGACTGAAAAGGTCAGTCTGTCTGCCCCATGCTCCTAGGCAGGGGCATTACCCTTTTAGCAAGTAACTCATGGCACTGTGGCTTGGCTCTGTACACTGGATTTGGCTGGCTTCTCACTCAGGAGTGAATTCTGATCCACTGAAATCAATGAAGACATTGCTTCTGAATTCTTTATCTGGCATTTTTCACAAGAATTAATTCCACTTCACAAAATAATCCAAAGAAATGTAACTAGCCTTTTACTTTGCTTTTACCACCAGCTGTGCAAATGTTAATTCTACTCGTGCAGTACTGTGTTCTGTGCTAGGTTACTGCCCAGAGACCATTATTTGGTCTACAAAATAATAATCTACTTCTGATGAAGACCTGCTTAAAATTGAAAGTATCCAGATTATTGTCTCTAAGAATTGTTTGGTAGTCATTCATTTCCTCAGCTGAAAAAACTGTCACAAATAACACCTCTTCCATGAAACTTCCTTCCATTCTGCAAGGGTAGATTTTGCTCTGTGCTGACTGTGTCAACTCATTCTTTCCCTTAGCTTTCTTCTGTTAGTCCACACCTGGAAGATCCTTCTCCCTCCTTTTTTTCTTTCCATTTATCTTTATCTCAGTTCATTAAATCCTTCTGCTAGCCAAATATACCATGGGGTTTGTCTCTGCTGAATATTGTACTGGGAAGTGGTCTCTGTCAAAAAAAAATCAGAGCCATACCTCATTTACTAAATGTAATGATAAAGATGTGGTTTATTATTTTTCATTCATAGACATTTGAGTGAAATTTTTTTGGATCAGTATCAGAGGCAGTGATAAGATGTTCTTAAAGCATTTTTGATGTCTTTTGGAAGCAAAGTGCAAGGGGTCAGACTGCACATGTGTCCATATGCCTCTGATCTCTTTTAAACATTGGCCAGTTTCCAAAAAAATTGCCAGAAGGGATGACATCTCACACAAAATCAACATCCTACCCCTTTTGATAAATGTTAGCACCCCACCTGAGAAAAAGTCTGAGAGGCAGGCTCACAACCTGTTAGATACAAGAAAAGCCACACAAAGCAAGTCAGGAGGAAAAAAAAGTGAGGCACACAGAGAGACTGATGTTCTGAATGTTCCATCAGCTGAGAAAGTGTCAAACAGAGCTTACACCTCCTCAGACTTGCAGTATAGATCCAAAGGGTAAACAACAAGTTTTGTGATATTTTAGCATCTTTTTTTTTTTAAAAAAAGATACCTTTATTCTCTCAGGATTTTAACTTCTTTATTCACAGCTCTATCCCTGCCCTTAGCTCTTCTACCTTCTTGGATGCCTAAGACTTAACAAATATGCATAAATAACCAAAACTACAGAGATGTTTCACCTTATTTGCAGAAGACCTGGGCCTTGTTTGGCACCATGTAATAGGTCTGTGCAATAGCAAGAATTATAATCCCCAAACCACAGCCCATGATGATAAGAAAATGGAGAACTTTGTCAAGCTCTAATGAATTTCCAGTGTTAGAGATTTCACAGTTGTCCCAGGCAACCTATTGCAGAACATCTTAATTTTAAACATTTTCTCAGATGCTTAATTTAATTCTCCCTTGCTACAGCTGAGGCACATTGTTTGTGTTTGAGCCATGCTGCATATGGGGAACAGAATATTCCCTTCCTTTTTGAAAGGGAAATATTCCCTTCCTTTTCCGTTTTTTACAGTAGCTCCTGTCAGTCTTTGCTATCCCAGACTAGAAAAGTCCCCTTCCATATGTGACGTTTTCTATAGTTCTTCTGCCATGCTCCAGACTGTGCTTGATCCCTTGGTCCACTTTTTATTTTCCTTTCAATTACAGTGCTCAAAATCAGATACAATGACTAAGAAAATACATTGTTAATTGAGCATGGAGCAGAATGATTACTTTCCATATCTTACCTATATATCCTGTTCCTTTAATTTCTGGGCTGGTGCTTGCTTGCCATTTTAAAACACTATTGATTCATCTTCAGTTTTTCATGTGCCATGAATGCCAAATTCTATTTTTGCAAAATTGTTACCTAAACTGTAGTGCCTCCAGTTAGTGTCTATGTACTATTTCATGTTATGTTGTTGAATTATTTCTATTCTTTCAGATCCCTTTCCCATATCCATTTTGGTTTGAATCCTACTCTTTCAGCATCTTTGCCATACTTGACTGTCTGGGGTCATCTCCAGACTGGAAACTGTGTTTCCTATCCTATCATCAAGTTAGTAGTAAAAAGGGCAAGTTTTGCAAAACCTTCTTCCAGTTTGAAACTAAACTATTGCTCTGTACATATTGTTGTCTGAAAACTGTTCCCCAATCAATTTTGCTCTCATGTTATATTAATTTCATAAAGTGTAAATGACAGTAAGCTGCAATTGCAATATTGTTATTCCTGATGTTCAGATATGAGCTAGAATAGATTTAACTTTCAGATCCCAATAGAATTTGCACAACTGGTGAGTTGGTGGAAAAGTGATTAAAATTTAAAATCAAACAAAAGTAAATCTTGATTTGCCGGATCTCCAACATAAAACTCCACTGTCTCCTTTTACAGTCACATATTATAAAATAATTGCCTACCCAGAACTACGGAAGTAGATGAAACCAATAGAAAGATCAGGTGGAAGGATTCAGTCTGAAGAATACAAAAGTGCTTTGGCAATACATGGAAGAATTTGAGCTGTTTGTTAGCTCCACAACGTGTATTTCTGTTCTACAGATAAAAATACATTTTTAAAAAATACATTTTAATAAGAGAAACATCAGCATGGAATATTTTTCTATACATATCATTTTGATTTATATTTAGCCTAATTGGCTAAAAGTATTGAAACACAGAACAACTATTTTATTGTGTGTGATAAAAAGGTTTTTCTTCCCTTGATGTGTTAGCCTGTTCATTATCTTTTTTGAAACATTCTTATCCTTGAGAACAGCAGGAATAGAACCTTGCAACCAGCAGATGTTAGAAACTTCCTTGCTTCAACACCCAAACCAATCCTGTGGATTTATAATGAATATGTTGAATGTGAGGGAGTGCATTATTCATTTGTCTAAGGCATCTTGGCTTACGGTCCAAGCAAATGTTTGTCTGACAGAAAAAAAAAAAAAAAGGGTGTTAAATGTACTTTGTGTTCCCACCAGGTACCCATCATAAGCAAATCTTTCTTGGAGGGAAGCTGGCCTGAGCTAAGGTTTGCTGGAGGGAAGTCATGCTGTTCTCTCTCTGAACCTTGGAGAGTTACACATTAAATATACAACATGGGCTCTGTAGGAAGTATGTCAATACAGTAAAGCCATCACTCTCTTGCTTTTTACAAACTTCAAATGGGCTTATGATAGGAGTTGTATCACAAGTGTTTGGCAACAGTAATAACTGTAGTAAGCTCTTTACAGCACAGAGCTAAAGGGGACCTCTGAAAGCAAATATAAGTTAATAATAACAGAAAACAACAATGTAGAACAGGACCACAGAGAGGAAAGTGATGAGAATTCACTAAACATACTCCTCATCTTCTTACTCCCATTAGGAAGGCACACTGCATGTCAAAGACTGCATTTATGTTGGGACTTTTAAAAGGGAAGCACAGGTCTCCTTTCAGAAGCATGGTAAAGTGGAAAATTTGAAGGCTGATTTTTCAAGAAATGTGTAAGCAAATGCAGCACCATGGTAATCCTACTGTCATGGTGAACTGCAGCAGGAGAGTGTGTGATAGAGTGTATGAGTTGTCAGTGTAGGAACAGAGTATTCTTCTGAAGGGAAGAAAAGGACTTAAATATCTTAAACAGTCTAGGCTCTTCACAGATATCATTTCCAAAATATCCATATTATTTAGGTTCCTGAACTTGAAATTGGAATTATTTTTAGCCAAGTTCCACTGGTCACTTTAAACCAGCAGCTATGTTTCCAACACCAGCCCACTTCAACAGTCCCCTTAAACCACAGCACCATAGAAAGTGGGCAATGTGCCCATGTCACCCCAAATGCCTCCTTTGACATGAACACAGCCACCACACACTTCCCTCTCCACACACAGAGCTGCGGCCCCTTGGTGCCTGGAGGGTTCGAAGGCATGCAGGGCCCCATCCCATGAGGGTTTGCAGTAGCAAGGGATTTCCCCACTCTTGCAACTTGTTTCTATGGTTATCCAGCTCTGATTTTCCCTGGGAGTGGGCTCTCCAGCTAGGCAGCCGCTCATACTGTGGGTTTTCCAAGTACCACATCTCAGGGCTCCTTCCCAGCCATACACAGTTCATGCACCACAGTAGCACAAAAGGCTGTGCCTGGGTCTGTCTGCCCAGTCTCTGCAGAGATTTCACTTTTGAGCCAGCAATTCAATTGTCCAGACCCCCTGCACGTTCTGGGGGCAGGTACTGCATCTCCTTTCTTCACAACTACAGCCTAAACCAATACCCAGCATTCAGATAGTCTCAACTCCTTTCTGTAACTATAGCAAGGCCACTGTGAAATCCCATTTCCCACATTTTTAATACCCCCATCTCCTGCACTGCCCCTTCCCCCCCTGCCCAGAGGTGGGGGGAAGCTGGCAGTGGCTGGGCAGGCTGCTAAAAGGCCGGGGAACAGCTGGCCCTTCCCTTTCCTCAGGCACACTTCTCTCCTAGGCACTTATCTTTACAAAATTTGTAGAAATTTAGTACCTTTCACATTTCTACCTCTGCATATGATGTCTTTGAAAATAACCGAGAGGTTCAAACGCTTGAAAAGAGTCCCAAACAATTGCATTCCCAGCTCATTACCACCAACAATTGCAAGCAGGAGGCTGTAACCATGACATACCTCTAATACTAATTGGGAATTGTGATGGGGGAAAGGAATCTGCATCAGACTCAGTCCGACTGCCAGGACAAATAGTCTAAAAAACAATTAGAGTCAGGGTATTTAAAAGTAGAATGCCAGAATATTTCAGAGTCAGTGGAAAATCTGAACAAAGAATAGTATTTCACATTTATGGAACTAGAGAAAATTCTGAGGCACTCCAGAAACACTGGTATTAGCAAATGTAATACTACAAGCCACTTGAGTATATTCTGTTTTAAAGGGAACACATTAAATTGCATGAGATGGGTTCTGAATTATATTTATAGAGGAAAGTAAAAAAGCTATTGTCTGTATTTCCAAAGGCAGCAGAATGATGACATCTGCTCAATGTGCAAAGCAAATGAAAAAGAAATAACAAGTTATAGTGTATTTAGAAGATGTGTTATTGGGCTATATAGATCATATATATGTCCTTATTCTAGTTATTGTTTCAACAGCTTGACAAAAAGATGGCTATGAAAGTAAAAAAAAAGGCCAAAGAAAAACAATTTTAAAAATCCAAATCTGAGGTCCCTAAATGCTTACTTCCAAGGTACATACACAGAAAAATTATAGGACTATTTGCAGATCTGAGTCATTAAGTAAGAGTGAGTCTTGCTCATACTGTGACTGGAAGGAAGAGGAAAAACAAGGAGCAGAGGGCATGACTGAGAAAAGCCAGTCCTTCAGCAGGAGCTGCACCGGGTGCTCAGGAGGGCAGCTATTCCCTCCTGTGCGGGTGCAACAGAAGTAAGGCTCACACGTCTCACTCGAGTCCCAGGGTGTCCAGTAGAATAACCAAATTAACTCTCGTAAAATAAAAGGAACAGAGCAGATAAATATTGAATATTTGTTTATATCTCCACTGAAAGCATTTTAAAGGATTAAATTTGGGGGGGGAGGGGGAAGAAAAATAAAAGCAAATAAAAGGGGGGGAAAGTGCACTTCTAAGATTGTGTTTAGTTAAAGGAGTACAATAATCATGTAAAAAATGTAGCAGAATTTTTATAATAGCATAAATAATAATTGTGCTATCTGATTAAAATAACACTGCTGAATTTCATTCTTCCAGGCAGATGATGTTAAAAAAAAAAAAATTGCCTGCTCCTGTAAAACATAATTTTTAATAAAAAGTACATATGAAGTTTTTCACCTTAAAAGTTGACCTTAAGGATTTTTACCCAAACCAATAAACCTCTGAAGCTATCCCAAACACTTTTCCTGGGTTAATAAAGCTCAAATACACAAGCAAAGTAAATTTAATTTAGCAATATATCTGTGCAACAAGCAATATGGATCCCACAACAGAATACTTATTGAAAAAGCAAAATAGATGTTTATATATTACAACCATGTCATAGGTTGTATGTTTATATATTACAACCATATCATAGGTTGATAGTTTCTACTCTGCTGACGAATGCTCAGAAAAGCAACAGGTTTGTTACAAATGGATGCAAACTGCCAAGTTTGTTTCGAACTTTGGTAAATGGTGCAAACTGTTTAAGAGTGAAGCAGTTACATGAGCAGATTTTGGAGATGGGGGTGAACTAAGAGGTTTACACCAAAGAAGAATTTGGCCTTTGGCGCTGTGGGCTGCTTTCTCCAAGGTCTTCTGGAGTGCCCACATTTCAGATTCTTGCAGCAGATAAAATAGTAGTAGGACTACAGTGTAGCCTGACATTTACAATAAAAGGACCTATGAGGAAATGAATGCTAGTATGACTAATATATACAGGTGTATGAATCTTTTAGATGGCGTTTTATGTGTTGTATTGCATCATCTTATTCTACTTTAACATCTATTTGCTTTTTGTACAGATTGGGAACTGGTACATAAGCTTAGCATCAAGGATTATGCTAATGTTTCACAAAGTTAGGCAACTGTGATAACATATCATTCAAAACTCACATTTTATGAAATTCAATTCTTTCAAAGTGATTTTCCCACTATTTCTTGAATTACCTATTCATTTGATGACACTGTCTCAGTGGGAGATATTAAGTTATCAACCAGCCATTAGAAAGATTGTTGCAGGATGCTGAAAGCCATAAGGAAGTATAAAATCTGACCCTATAAAAGCAGTATCATCACCAAATTTATCTCCCACAAACAAGAAACTATGCAATAGCATGTAATCCATTAATTTTCTTGCCCAGAAATGGTTTGTAAGTTATTTAAAAGTTAAGATATTGATATTTTTCTATTAAATAAAAGACAGCAATGTTATCATATGTGTGTCGATTAATTCTTTTTTTTCAGGTAACACCGACCAAAATGGCTACTTGCTTAATAATACAATCCTGCAGACTTTATGAAATGTGTCAGGGTTTCTTCCAAACACCTTTTTGGAGTGTATAAGGGCAGGATAAATGGCATTGCTACCAGGCACGGAATGTGTGGGCAGCGGTTTGTGGTGAAGATGGGATTTGGCTCTTTGCAGCTCAACACAAAACTGTTTGCCCAAGTCAAAAGGCTGCTGTGTGAGCAGGGATTTCAGGCCACTCCAGTGCGAGGGCCTTTTGTTGCTCCTGCTGCAGGACAGGGATGTAGCCTGGCCCTCACAGCAGCCCCAGAGCAGGGGCTACTCTCAGCTCCACACACAGGCCCTGCTCCCCCATCCTGGCTGCCAAGTGTTTGAGGACCATCAGGAAACTCCTCTGGAATCCAACAGTGAACTGGCCTCTCAGGGGAGCAGGGTGTGTGCCATGGCCTGTCCCCACAGGGCTGTGCTCAGCAGGGAGGGCTGCACAAAACCAGGCTTCTCATGGCAGCCCCTGCCCGAGACCTGCCCAGGGTGAGACTGGATGAGACCCTGCTGTTGGGAACTGGGGTCAGACACAGCCCCAGGATGGCAGGGCGTGGATGTGGGGACTGGAACGGACGAGACCTCCATCTCAGAGCACCAGAGCTGCCCCTGGGCATGGGTCTTTTGGCTGATGGAGTTAAGAAAGAGACACTCTAGGCAGAAAGATGTTAAAGGGCAGAGGTGGTTTGTGGTTTGCTTCATCTCAGTTTTGATTCCCTGGAGAAGCCCTGCCAGCAATCCCCCCAGACGCCACCAGCTCTCTGCTTGGCATGGTGTGGTGTGACCTGGCTTCTCCTTGTCAATGCTGGGCCCTGCCACATCCAGTAACAGGAAAGGCAGTGAGCACCCACTGCTGAAACAAGAGCCTGCCGATTAAAGCCCCCTAATTGAGTCTGCCTGTCATGGACTTGGCCCGTTCTGTACCAGAATGTCCCTAGGCCAGTCCATTGGTGTGTTAGCACAGCTTGTCACAACACTCTCATGGTCTCAGCAAACAGCTGATTGAGACACTTGCCCCTGCTGTTGTGGTGCACTGGATCCACGCATACAGCTCCCATGCACGCTGTTTGCCAAAAGGCAGATGCTTCTGTTCACTGAAACTCAGTCACTGTAACTAAGACAGTTTTTAGGTCTTCAGTTCTATTTTTTCAGAAGCTATTCTTGTGTCTGAGTTTGTGCTCCTGACAAATACAGCATCAGTGGTGAGTGAGGGGAGAACTCATGTTCCACATGGCAAGGAAAGGATAATGTTGTTCCCAGAGCATAACCAGGGGTTTATGTTTTACAGATTCATTGTAATTGGATTTAGTCTCCTCCTGTTTTGCTTGATACAAGATAACAAATCCTGTAGGAAAATGCATTGGCTTTGTGTAAGCAGGGAACAAGTATCCAGGTTGAAATCCCTGTTGGAAACAAATGATCAGACCTGATTTTTGTTTTTCTAAAGAGCAAACACCTATATCCCAGATTAGTAGTGGGGTCATGGACTGTTGTTAGGTTATATCTGTCTTACAGAAGGTTATTTCTGTCTTGCAAAAATAATACAAAGGGCCTGAAAAGTTCTGCAATTAGAAAGTGACAAAAATTCAAATTATTTCAAAGGACAATTAGGCAAACTGGTGGGGAAAAGGTCTGTTAAGGATCCCTCCAGGTACTTTTGATTTTCTAACCAATTGAGGGTTTGTTCTAGGGCATAAAATTCTATGTGATCTGCTTTAGTGAATATCTGGGGTGGCAAAGGACTTTGCTGTACTAGATGAAAGAAAAAAAAGCACCATTTTGATCTTGACTGTAGCACACTGTGATGGACTGATGATGTAGCAGGCCTGATAAGTACTTACCAAGCTGAAACAGGACAAATGCATGTAACTGCTGACGTGAATCTTGTTCTTTATTCATTTACTGTCACTACCCTTGAACTTAATATTATTTTAATTTTAGTCTCCCTGTTCCTCATTTCCAGTGCAATCAGTATCAACCAAGAAGTGCTCTGCTAGAAATGTGTTGTGCTGTACATTGAGCATCAGGCTTGTTTGATGTTAATAGCTCTGAGTGCATTAGGCCAGCTTGTCATTACCTGATATTACCCTTCCTCCATATCAATGCCAATGAGTCCAGAGGAACTGTTGGGAAGCTACAGGTTTTGAAGTTTTCTACTCTTCCCCTTTACTTTTTTTGATATGTTCAAATCCCTAGTTTAGTATCCTGCCTTCCAGATGAATGGTCTTCATCAGTTCCAGTCAGCTAAAGAGTCAGAATTGAAGGCCTATCCAAAAGATTAGATCTTCAAATAAGGCCAGTGCAACAGCATAATAATGGAAAATAATAGAAGAGGCTATGCAACGGGTTTTTGTACTCTTCATTTGTTCACATTCTAACTTGGATTCCTTTAGTCAGCAACTTCTTTTGTTGTTTGGGGGGGTTTTTTTCAGCCTGTGAGTTCTAAGAACCTCAGTCTTCAGATGAAATAATCACAAGTTCTGACTTTTTTTTTCAGTTAAAAGTGTTACTTCTGACATTTCTCTGACTGGTTTCTCTTAGTGCTTATTAGTAAAGTCCTAATGAAGTAGTGAGGTAGATTTTGGATTGGGTTTTGTTCAGTTTGTATGGTTTTGTTCAGTTTGTATGTTTTCTACTTCATATGGCTACTCTAATCATGTCTGAAAGCCTTGTTCCTACTTTAAGGCTTAGTCAAGTAGATTAACTTTTGATAAGGTATTTTTTTACCAATAGTAAGGGCAGCTGAGGGGACAATTGTTCTTCATGTCAAGTTTCATGGACCTTCCTGGTAAACTTATCCTCTTTTTTACTTTTTAGACTCCCACAACTTACTGATTATTTCCTGTTACTTCCTGATTGACTCAGATGTTTTCATAGCACATCAGTGACACTGCAATAATTTAAAACCACTTGTTGCTGATGAAAATAAATGCAAGTGGCCTCATTTACCTCTCTTGACCATTATTTTTGATTTGAATGTAAGAAGCTGTGCTCAGAGGAAGTCTACACATGCAGATTGATAGAAATCTGAGAACACTCATGGAAATTTGCTACTTAATACGCTGGCAGTTTCCTCTGCCTTTATGGCACTCCCTCTTTCCCATGCATACAGCAGATGTGGCATCCTTATGCATTAATTATCTGATATACAGGACCAGAATGAGTTTCCATCTACTCCTGTACCACAGCATTATTCTTCTAAATTAAAATGTTTGATTGAAAAGGAGATGATTGAAGGTTCCATTTCTTGCTGATTATTACACCAGGGTACTTGTAGCCTGATTAAACAGAATTTGTGATGGGACAAATGACTTCATAAAGAACAAGGAAACATGTTTCTGCTTTCCATTCTTTATTTGCAGAAAATGCAGAATACTTCATTCTGTCTTCTCTGGGAACAGCTACAAGAAAAAATTACGTTGAGTCAGGGGATTTTACCTCAAGTCTTTTGCCTTAGACAAAAGTTTAGTATTTTCCTTTGGAGTTCCAGTTTTACAGGTTAATGTCTATGCTGTTTTGGAGTCTTTGCAAGTCTGCATGAGCACAGTTCAAAAACATGGATATTTTCTCTTACCCTCCAAG